TCAGTTCTGGCTAAAAAGATGTGGACCAGTTTTGGGCCGGCGAACACAAACTAATCTGGGCCACACTTTAGCTGTTGATATGGGCCAGATCGGCGTCAAAGGAAATTTGCTGACTGGGACTTTATTTGTTTTGTTCAAATGCTGACATGCAGCATTGCTATGGCTTCCTTGTGGCCCAGATCTGGTAAGGAGCAGATCACCCAAGTGCCATCATTCCTTGTGGTATGTGGGCCAGAGCAAGTTATCGGGTCTGGGCCAGAATACAAAATAACTGTTACCCAGATTTGGGCCAGTTGTACTTTATTTGTTTTGTTCAAATGCTGACATGCAGCATTGCTATGGCTTCCTTGTGGCCCAGATCTGGTAAGGAGCAGATCACCCAAGTGCCATCATTCCTTGTGGTATGTGGGCCAGAGCAAGTTATCGGGTCTGGGCCAGAATACAAAATAACTGTTACCCAGATTTGGGCCAGTTGTACTTTATTTGTTTTGTTCTCTGCTGACATGCGGCATTGCTATGGCTTGCTTGTGGTCCATATCTGGGAAACAGGAGCGGACCGCCCAAGTGCCATCATTCCATGCTAAAAGTGGGCCAGATGAAAGTGTCAGGTGTGGGCTGGATCTGGGCCACAGCAATTTTGCTATCTGGGAATGAGCCAAAGTTTCTTAACATCCCAGCAAATTTGCAGGCCTGTTTACTAAAATAACTACAAACAAATCTCTTTTAAATACAGAGAAAAAAGAATCAATAAAAGTAAGGGTTTGTCTTCATACACTTACACTTATGGATAAAGAATTTACCCAAAATCAACATTATACTGATTAAAAATCCAGTTTTTTTATTTTCCAACAACATACCAACTACAAAAGACATAATGGTTCCTAGAAAAAATACTTTCCCGCTAAACACGTGACAGCGATGATTCAGATGGAAGTCCGGGAACCGAGGGGCGTACACTTTTTTTTTAATTCAAGTTCTGCAGAACTGCTGTAGAAGGTGCAAATAGCCTAATTCTTTTTAGTGTTCTGCAGTCAAAGCTGCACGTCCTCTGGGACTTTCAAAAGTCTTTGCACCATCACAGATCGCTGTTTTTCTAATTAATACATGTATCTCCGACAGGGCTATAATGTGACTGTTACTGAGTTTTGAGTTAGGAAGTTATGAAGTTTTTTTATTTTTAGAATTGTTCAAGATGCTTCTGTAAAACCGTTTCTCATTTCTGTAGTTAAGATGAAAAAATAAAGCACTTAGGAGATGTTTTTCTGTAATGGATTTTGTCTTAAATGATGTCCTAAGCCAATTTCTTTACAATACGCATACAGAGAGTGCATTTGATTAAAAGGGGGATTTACAGAGAGGGTCTGCTGTCCACGTCAGCCTTGCACCTTCCACTTTCCCAAGAAGAGATCGCTGCCACATTAAAAGTCAGAGTCAGTTGGTGTACTGTGATGTTAGAAGTATGAAGCGTAACTTCTGTGGATCCACACCTACCTCCGAATGCACAGAAGTGTCGAATCAACGTCAAAAGAAAATGTATCAGAATACAAGAATGGGTCAGTCAGAGAGCGGACATGTTGCTTCGAGAGACTTTGAAACCAGATCAGACGCAGTAAGTTCATGAATTCTTTGTTCTGTTATATGCTATGGAATGATGACCAGTTCGCGGCAATACTTTTACGCGCCCAACAAGCACAATTAAGATTAATAAGAAAAGTATACAGAAACCAGCGACCTAATGTCAGGATTTTTGTTGAATAATACATTACATTTCGGGTTGTTTTCACCAAACCCTGTCGCATAGGCCTACTCCCAGAAAACTGTCGTGTAGGATGGAGCTGTGATACATTTGCGTCTTTTGGTCGCTCGCTATTCATTGCCATTATGGATGCGCGCAAGCGGGACATTTCTTTACATTTCTCCATCTGTGGTCTGAAAAAGAAAGAAAGGCATACAGCATTAGAACAACACAAGGGTGAATAAATGATGACTTAGGCATTTTTGGGTGAACAGGAGGTTTCAAACGTTTCACACGGGCTACATTTCTCAGTACCAATAAATGTGCAACGTTTTACGCAAATTATAGGCAATGTAGGCGCTGTTTCGTCCCACATTTGGGTTGTTTGGCTTCCCATAGCAATGTGCATTAAGCCGGGAGAGCTCGCTGTTCGCGCAGCTTTCGGCAAGGGACCGTGGGGAAAGTGCAATTTTTCTTCGTTTATTTTGCTAATAGCTTTTTATTTAAAGGGCCTGTAGACATGAGACCAGTGTCAATCAATGCAGGGAGACAGTGGACATCTTTCACAGTCTCTCTTTTTTTCACCCTAGTGGCTGATTAGGGAATTGCATGTCCAAAATTAACTTTCTTTTTGTGATAACTTTTTACATCAGGGAGACAGAGGCGTGAAACCAGTGTCCATCAATAGAGGGGGACAATGGACATTTTTTCAAACCTTCCTTTTTTACCCCTAGTGGTAGAAAAGGGAATTGCATGTCCAAAATTAACCTTCTTTTTGTAATAACTTTTTAGGGAATTGCATGTCCAAAATTAACTTTCTTTTTGTAATTACTTTTTACATCAGGGAGACAGAGGCATGAAACCACCGTCCATCAATAGAGGGGGACAATGGACATTTTTTTGCAACCTTCCATTTTACTCCTACTGGTAGAAAAGGGAATTGCATGTCCAAAATTAACCTTCTTTTTGTAATAACTTTCGTCAGCAGGAAGACAGAGACATGAGACCAGTGTCAATCAATACAGGGGGACAGTGGACATCTTTCACAGCCTCTCTTTTTACCCCTAGTGGTAGAAAAGGGAATTGCATGTCCAAAATTAACCTTCTTTTTGTAATAACTTTCGTCAGCAGGAAGATACAGATATGAGACCAGTGTCAATCAATACAGGGGGACAGTGGACATCTTTCACAGCCTCTCTTTTTACCCCTAGTGGTAGAAAAGGGAATTGCATGTCCAAAATTAACCCTTTTTTTGTAATAACTTTTTACATCAGGGAGAAAGAGGCATGAGACCAGTGTCAATCAATAGATGACGAGCAACCATGTTCCACAGCTAGATTTTCTAATAGGATTAGAACTGAAAGGTAATCTTCTTTTCCTCTGTCAGTGTTCAGGTCAGCAGTCAGCTGTTCCTCTGGCTGTGGTTGAGGAGATCTTACTGAACCTGCCTGCACATCAGGTGGTCCAAGTCTGTCGGTTGGTGTGTCATGAGTGGAAGGAGCTGGTGGACAGTGCTGCACACTGGAGAGAGCGCTGTCGGACAGAGGGGTTCCAGCCGTATAATGCTTCCAGCCCCCCAGAGGACTGGCGCATGTTTTACTTTCTATCTAAGTTTAGACGTAACCTGCTCAAGAATCCCAGAGCTGATGGTAGGACACATAATTAGGATACAGTAAGTGTCACTATAATGAATTTTGCATCAGGTGTCTCTTTTCTGATGTTTTTATTAGATGGACTTCAAGGATGGGAGATTGTACAGAATGGAGCTGACCGCTGGGCGACAGAAAGGAACCATAAACTGTTTCCAGACAACACAGTCACCAAATGTTTTGTAACATCTCAGAGGTATGGTTGATATTTTAGATCTTCAAGGAAGTTTTGAGCTCATTTTATTTCAGTCGATGTTCTAACATGAAGATATATCCAATACTAAACCAATCCGCACGTGAATCACCCAACTCAACTTTGTCCTCAGTCAATGTTTTAAGGAGCAGCTGATTGATTTGAAGAAAGAAGGCTACAGTGATGCTTTCATGGATCAACAGCGACCTCATATCAAAATATCAGACTGGTGAGCATTTACTCAAACTCCCACAGTATCTTCGGTGGTGGATTCTGTCATTATTTACTCCCTTGTTCATGGCTTTCTAAACCTGTGTGACTTCTTTGTACAAAATAAGATACTTTGAAAAATGTCTCAGTGTTTTTTTTTTCCATATGAAAATTAATTGAGTCTAATATTGAACACAATCAACTTTCAAAACATTATCTTTTATGTTCTGCAGAAGGCCGAAAGTCACACAGGTTTGGAATGACATGAGTGAGTGTAAACGATAACAGTTTTCATTTTAGGATGAACTATCCCTCTAAGAAGACAGTACCAGTGTTAAATTAGATTCTAATATTAAAACACAATTTTTGAATAGAGCCACATTTATTGGATGTCTTATCTGCAGGTATACCCCACTCTCTGATTATGGAAGTCAGTATCGGTTGTCTGTAGAGTTGCTTAATCAGGAGAAGAAACGCATCAGTACCTATCATCCTTATAAAGTTTTCTTTCAGCAGGGGAATGATTATCCATGGTGTCAAGTAAGTAGAATAACACTGACAGTCCAGTTATTCCCCTGTAATCAAGCTAATAGTCAAAGCTTAACTGTCCCTGTGTTTGTTCTGCTTTATTTCAGATTACCTACGTCTTTAGGAATTATGGACCTGGCGTTCGGTTTATCCGTTTCACTCATGGAGGGATGGGATGGTCTGGAATACGGGTTACTAACAGTAGTGTGGAAATCTGTCCAGCTGCAGAGAGGTAGTGTTTTCCAGAGTGATATTTTTACATTCCTAAATGTAACAGGCACAAAAGTGACCTTCAGGTAAGGAATTCTAATGAATTCTAATATGTCTTTAGGAGATCACATTACAAAGCTTTATTATACTGTAGATGTATTCTGTTCCAATAAAGATTGTTATACTGTTATATAGGGCTGTGCAAAAAAAGAAAAAAGATAGAAATTAAATAAAGAATGGTTTCGATTATTTTTTCATTTGCGTTCTACTGAAGAAACAAAGTCACCTACATCTTGGATGCCCTGGGAGTAAGCAGATAAACATAAAATTTTCATTATTGGGTGAACTATCCCTTTAAGACCTAATGAATTAATCCAATATACTGACACACATGTGATTTTCTCCCAACTGCTTACGCTCACTTAAGACATAATTGATTGTGTTTACGTGAATATTTGCCAAGAAAGGCATTAAGACAATTATTGTTTGAATTTGACCGTTTAAGCACAATAAAGGTGATGCACCTTTATGAAAATAAAAATATGTAAATAAATACACATCTACAATAATTCTCCTGCAAATGATACTTTACAAACAAATCAAACCACTATTTCATTTTGTTTTGCTCTGAGCTTATGACAGTCATTTTAATGAATTTCTAAATATTACAAAGTGTGATGTGATCTGAGAAATCTACATGTACGAATGAAATGTTTTTGTCTAAATAATAATAATAATATTATTCAGAAGGTTCGTTAACATTCATCTTATTCATAACAGTATTTCTCTCATCAAATGAGAGAAACAAAAAATAATAGTAGTCTGCCATAAAGATGCTCCCCCACAAGAAGCAGATTAGGGTGCTGCCACATTAAGAGTTGTTATCGCTGGTCAGAAGAGCAATGTTTGACATGTTACTAATGCAAAAGTACCTACTATTATTTGTGTCTTGGTTGGTTTACTGTAATATAATCAGAATATGAGACGTAAGTTCTTTGTTTCCAATTGTAGGTTGCAATGCACAAAATCTAACTTGCTCAAGAATCCCAGCGCACAAGGTGATTTATATAATAAAGATTGTACAATAAGTGTCACTATAATTACATTTTGTGTAAGGTAATGGCTCTTTTCTGATCTTGTCATTAGATGGACTTCGAGGATGGAAGATTGTATGTAGTGGAGGTGACTGCTGGGTGATAGGAGAAAATAGGAAACCAATTCCAGACTCGGTCACCAGATCTTTTGCAACATCTTATGGGTATGTTTGATATTTTAGATCCTTCAAGAAAGTTTTGAGCCCATTTCATTTCATTCAGTTAAAATATGAAAATAAGTCAACTGCCAAGCCAAATCCACACGTGAATCACCCATAAACGTTGTCCTCAGGCTATGTTTGAAGCAACAGCTGATTGATTTAAACAAAGAAGGCTACAGTGATACTTTCATGGATCAAGTGCAACCTCATATCAAAATATCAGACTGGTGAGCATTCACTCAAACTTTCATTTCACGCTACAGTATCTTGGATGGTGGATTTCATATTTTATGTGATACATTTTTGTGAATGACCTGTCCATCTGGGTCACATGTGCCTTATGCTGGAATTGTGGTTGGTAGTATTGACAGATCCGACACAAATCATAAGATGAAAGCCCAGTTTGTTCACAGGAACACTTTTAATTGATGTTTGTCTGGTGCAGGTATGCCCCATGCTTTGACAGTGGAAGTGAGTATCAGATCTGTGTAGAGTTGCTTGATCAGAAGAAAACCCCCATCAAAACCTTTCAGCCTGAGAAAGTTATATTTTCATTTAGGAACAGTCAGCCGTGGTGTGAAGTGAGTAGAATAATACTGACCATCCAATTATTCCCCTGTAATCAAAATAATAGTAAAAGCTTAACTGTCCCTGTGTTCTGCTTTATTTCAGACGAGCCACGTCTTTAAGAATTATGGACCTGGGGTTCGTTTTGTCCGTTTCACTCATGGTGGAAACGATACACAGTACTGGGCGGGTCATTATGGAATACGGGTCACTAACAGTAGTGTGGTGATCTATCCAGCTGATGAGAGGTAGTGTTTTCAATGCAGATACAAGAAACATGTAGGCATATCATGAAACAAATGCAAATGTTAACTACTCCTGCTCCGCCCACTTGAACGCATTGGGTGTGTTAATGAGGACAGTAAAGACCACAGCCTCTAGCATCAGCTTTTAAATGGGACAAGACCTGAGAAATCTAAATTCCCTTGATCTTTTGACATATAAGAGGTCATTAAACTTGAACAACGTCCTGTAGTTTTTGCACGTTTTAGAACTCAAAACTTTCCCGTAAGTCTAAAAACAGCTTATACTGAAGCCAATCTACCAAAACGACAGGTTCTGGAATGTGACACTTTATGAAATAATAGTGTGGCTAAACCCTCTCACTGTTTCACACATGTAGCGAGAGAGGTGAATGCAGGTCTATGCAGAAACCACACGATAAAGATGGCTCTGAAAACAACAAGACGCCGTGCAATGCCAAGTTGTTGAAAAACACAGTCTTTGCATCGCCTTCCTTCTAATCCAAACATTAGGAAAGAGTGGATGAACTTTATTTTTAATGAAGTTCCAGACCACATCAGTAAGAACCTGGTCCTTTGTTCACTTCATTTTACCGCAGATTTGTTTACTAACAAAGCACAATTCGATGCAGGATCTTCAGAAAGATTGAACCTAAAAGATGATGATGTGCCGACTATATTGGATTCAAAAATAATGTCGCACCTCATGAGCATGAGTAACTATTTTTATTATGTGGTCACTATTGCTTTGTCTGTTATTACAGATAGTTTGATATGTACTGAATATTTATGCATTTTTAGCTTATATTACAGCAGCGTCCATCTATGAAGAATGTAAGCTGTCAAACATACACAACTGTTTGCCAATCATAGCAGTGGGCGTTTACTTCAGAGTCTACAACCCACCACGCCTATTCAAACAGAGCGTTTAGATGAGGGGAGTCAAAACAGGACAGAAAACAGCCTATTATTCTAAATTATGATGTTTTTTTAATGTAAAAAAAATCTTGATAACATTAGAAGTGGACCTCAGAGAACAGTACAACATAATAAAAAAGGCAGTTCATGACCCCTTTTAATGTGCCTTTTAGGCCAAAGAGTGAGGTTTATCTTTAATTTGAAAGAAATTTATATTTTACAAACAAATCAAACCACTATTTTGTTTTACCCTGACCAGAGCTTATGAAAATCATTTGAATGAATTTATAAACACTGTGAAGTGTGATGTGATCTGAATTTATGAATGTATTATGTTTTGATGAAATTATACAGTTATTCAGAAAATACTTTAAAATGTATCTTTCCTCATACCATATTTCATATCTTCAAATGACAGTGAGAGATGTCATACACTTTATCAAATGTATAAACTATCTTCTCAAAATGGGTAATGAGACTAGTTGTCTAGTTGTTGGTACCAATAGTACACTTCCTGTAACACAGTAGTCCAATACAGCTAAACCGTCATCCGTCCCTCGGGTCATTTTGACCCAAAAAGTTTTTTTTTTTAATTCTAAAAATTGTATGTTGATCATACCGGTCCAAGATGTCTTTACTTTTGTCACACTTGCACCGGGAATACACACAAAAAAATTTGAGTGGATTCGAGGAGTTTAAATGGGTGCAATAAAAAAAGTAACAAAAGTGTCCCTCGCGGGTCATTTTGACCCGCATAGGAATGAATGGAATTTACGAGAAAACTGCATTTGTCATTACATTTGATTTTTTTATATATACAAAATCTGAGACAATCCAGTAAAGATTTATACCCAAACGAAGGGGGGTTCGTTTTGTCCGTTTCACTCATGGTGGAAACGATACACAGTACTGGGCGGGTCATTATGGAATACGGGTCACTAACAGTAGTGTGGTGATCTATCCAGCTGATGAGAGGTAGTGTTTTCAATGCAGATACAAGAAACATGTAGGCATATCATGAAACAAATGCAAATGTTAACTACTTCTGCTCCGCCCACTTGAACGCATTGGGTGTGTTAATGAGGACAGTAAAGACCACAGCCTCTAGCATCAGCTTTTAAATTGGACAATTCCCTTGATCTTTTGACATATAAGAGGTCATTAAACTTGAACAACGTCCTGTAGTTTTTGCACGTTTTAGAACTCAAAACTTTCCCGTAAGTCTAAAAACAGCTTATACTGAAGCCAATCTACCAAAACGACACTTTATGAAATAATAGTGTGGCTAAACCCTCTCACTGTTTCACACATGTAGCGAGAGAGGTGAATGCAGGTCTATGCAGAAACCACACGATAAAGATGGCTCAGAAAACAACAAGACGCCGTGCAATGCCAAGTTGTTGAAAAACACAGTCTTTGCATCGCCTTCCTTCTAATCCAAACATTAGGAAAGAGTGGATGAACTTTATTTTTAATGAAGTTCCAGACCACATCAGTAAGAACCTGGTCCTTTGTTCACTTCATTTTACCGCAGATTTGTTTACTAACAAAGCACAATTCGATGCAGGATCTTCAGAAAGATTGAACCTAAAAGATGATGATGTGCCGACTATATTGGATTCAAAAATAATGTCGCACCTCATGAGCATGAGTAACTATTTTTATTATGTGGTCACTATTGCTTTGTCTGTTATTACAGATCGTTTGATATGTACTGAATATTTATGCATTTTTAGCTTATATTACAGCAGCGTCCATCTATGAAGAATGTAAGCTGTCAAACATACACAACTGTTAGCCAATCATAGCAGTGGGCGTTTACTTCAGAGTCTACAACCCACCACGCCTATTCAAACAGAGCGTTTAGATGAGGGGAGTCAAAACAGGACAGAAAACAGCCTATTATTCTAAATTATGATGTTTTTTTAATGTAAAAAAAATCTTGATAACATTAGAAGTGGACCTCAGAGAACAGTACAACATAATAAAAAAGGCAGTTCATGACCCCTTTTAATGTGCCTTTTAGGCCAAAGAGTGAGGTTTATCTTTAATTTGAAAGAAATTTATATTTTACAAACAAATCAAACCACTATTTTGTTTTACCCTGACCAGAGCTTATGAAAATCATTTGAATGAATTTATAAACACTGTGAAGTGTGATGTGATCTGAATTTATGAATGTATTATGTTTTGATGAAATTATACAGTTATTCAGAAAATACTTTAAAATGTATCTTTCCTCATACCATATTTCATATCTTCAAATGACAGTGAGAGATGTCATACACTTTATCAAATGTATAAACTATCTTCTCAAAATGGGTAATGAGACTAGTTGTCTAGTTGTTGGTACCAATAGTACACTTCCTGTAACACAGTAGTCCAATACAGCTAAACCGTCATCCGTCCCTCGGGTCATTTTGACCCAAAAAGTTTTTTTTTTTAATTCTAAAAATTGTATGTTGATCATACCGGTCCAAGATGTCTTTACTTTTGTCACACTTGCACCGGGAATACACACAAAAAAATTTGAGTGGATTCGAGGAGTTTAAATGGGTGCAATAAAAAAAGTAACAAAAGTGTCCCTCGCGGGTCATTTTGACCCGCATAGGAATGAATGGAATTTACGAGAAAACTGCATTTGTCATTACATTTGATTTTTTTATATATACAAAATCTGAGACAATCCAGTAAAGATTTATACCCAAACGAAGGGCTGAGACTACAGAATATCCCCAATGCAGAAAAAACTCACATACACATACACATGCACAAACACACACTCTCTTAGAACACATTGTAATATTTTTCATGTTTCTGCTGGGATTCTGCTGTCATTTTTCCTTTTTTTTAACTTAACAGTTAGATTTGAGTGATGTGGTGGAGACCAATGAGTTTATATCATATTTATATTTTTAAAAATATGTTATATATTTATTTCATATTTATGAATTTGTATGATATGCATATGTTTAGGTTATAATTCAGTTAGATTTAAAAAATTTTTTTTACAAAATTTGGATTTTGTAATGTTTCAATATATATTTGAATCCATAAACAACCGAATTTAAGCCTTAAGATTATATTCATTTTCATTTCTCATGTTTCACTTGTTTTGCTCATTTAAAAATCTCCATAGGGTTCTATAGGCCCCTCTAGTGGCTGTAACCATAAAATCCAATTTTATGTAATTTTTCCCCGCCCAGGTGGCATCAGAGACACTCAGTGACTCAATTCCAAGGCCATCTGTTGGTTTTTGATGAAACAGGACTGAAATTGTCTTTCTTTGTTTTTTGGTGAAATAATGTACAAAAACTGCTTAT